TAATTTGTTCCTGTTATTGCCATTTAAAAACAAACTCAAGCCGAAATAACGCGATTAAAACTCTTATTCTTTTCGTCTTGTCACTCCCATGCCAAAGTTCACTTCATTTTCACTGCCTGTCACTTCTTACAGTTACATACGTGCATATGTACGTGTATGTGGCGCATTAGGCGCGCGTTTTGTACCGATATTTTGTTTCACAAGCGATGACTTCATGGCCTTTTTATAATAGGGAATAACTTTAACGATTTGTAGTCCACTTTGCATTTCTTTGACGAAATTATCAGTAATTAATGAGGGCGGAACAACCAAAACAAAATTTCGACAGATCCGCGCAGCTACAAGTCTTCTTTTGCACAACTTTTACGCTCTGCCTTTTGTTACGCTACTTCTTTTTTGTTCTCTGTGTTTCATTCAGATTTTCTGTTTTATTTGGGGTTGTTTTCTTACCAAGCTCTCTTTTGGTTTCTCTCTCAGCTGCCAGGCTTAGCAACCCCCAGAATTTACAGTTTTAGAACCAGTTCATAAATATACAGTTTGAGAATGGTTAAGCTTGCTTGTTGTTTCTGTTGTTTGTTTGGCTTGGTTTTTCTTGCCGACTTTTCGGGGCTTTCCAACACTGCCATGTGCCATGTGCTAGCACTCCACACCCTCGCACAAAAACACCCAAACTCCCTTAAAATGTTCTTATTGGCCGCGTTAAAATATAGTTTATGCGGTGAGGGAATGTATGGAGTTGGAGTTCTGGAATGGTAACTCCATTTTCGGTTAATAGCCCGACGTACTCGGCCAAAGCTTGTCCTGACTGAAAAGCGTTGGTGGCATTTTCACCTATGACCTTGACTGGTTATGGGCTCCCACCAAAAGTTTGAATGTGTTTTGTTTGGGATCTAAAAAAATACATACATATGTATGATGTAACGACAAAACTTTTGATATATGTACAATATACACGGTATTATGACAAGGTTCTTGATTGTTCCTTAAACCATGAAACATTCCATTATTCATCTGGGAAAGATATGTATGGTATGTTGCACTCATAAACTTGTCATATGTTCCCAGCTATCTGCTTTCCCCTGCCTTGACCCAAAAAGGCCTCCCGTAATAGTTATATTTAAAAATCCCTGCGACGACTATTTGAAACTATTTGAAACAAACCGCAAAAGTTTTAGACGCAAAAACATAACAATTTTAATAGTAAATTGGTTTATACAAAATTTGTTTTTCTCTGACTGTTTAAAACCTTTTATTTTACTCTTTATAATCCGCATAAGTAATGAGCCTGTTAAAGTTTTTAGGCTTGCCCCCAAAAAAACCGTGCGGTTGCCTTGCCCGTAATTTAAAGGGGGTATAGGTAAAGCAGAACAGGGAAATCGGGGTTGCTATTGCCGTTCTATCCCATCTTGTTAGCTGGTTAACATCCACATGTTGGTACATGAATTTAATCTCGGCGCAAACAAAGTAACAAGAATTCAATTTGTCACAGTGGTTAGGCTCGCTTTTCCGTTTTCTATTCTGAGGTTTACATTACGGTCCTGGGATCTGCTCTCTCCGGTAATCCGGAGCCTGACAACGGTAGCTCAGAGAGATAAACCCAGAGTACTGGAAGAAATGAACAAGTTGAAAAATGATTTATAAAAACCACAACTGATATTACGTACGTAGTTTAGTATTATGAAGTTAGTTCAGATTATGAAATCACTTATAAAGGTCTTTAAAAGCATAGACCAATATACATATTATGAATTGGGAAGTCCATTGTATTAGAATTAATGCAATAAATGACTACTTTTTTAGGACACACTTTTAGGCGGAGTTGTAAAGTAATTCCAATGGCATGCCAATCCCACAAAATGCTATTTTGGACAATAAAGGTAATTGGTCGTTTCATCGAACAGTGCATCACATTTGCGTTTCGCTTGTTTTAAGAGTGTTGCGTTAGGCAAAGAAAAAAGCCTCCGGAAACTTGTTCATGCAAACAATGCGCATTTGATATTGAAAACGTAAGTGTAAGGAGCTTGGGCGTAGTCTAGTAATGAGGAAGGGGAACAGCTTATGCCTGTGTCCTTTGTGCTGTCGGGGGTAGTTTTGTGCCTAGCGATAAGGGAGTCTGGCAAAGCTCCGCTCCGTTTGCAACGGCACGAACTCCAACGCAAGCCTGCATTAATGTGTATTTCCGGAGAGCAATGGGTGCTACGGGGGTACTGAGCGGAAGTCGATTTAGGTGTTTCATATCGAGCACTCTCTGTACCACCAGTATCCCCTTCCCAAGCACAGATAATATAAGCAGTCAAAAAAACAAGAAATAACGCTATAGTAGAGTGCCTCGACTATTAGACACCGGTTACTCAGCTTACCAACTTTATAATAAATATACCTATACATTCGAGTAGAGGGGAAGAAACACTGATGCTTACAGTTTTATCTAGTTAACATTTTTTTATGTTACGCTCTCACTTTCATCTGCTGGCTGTGACGTTATGTTCTTGACGATGTTCTTGCTAGATACTGGCGTAAGGCATTACTTATTAACTTATGGTCTAATTTCAACAATTTAACAACCGGAATAAAATGAAATGTATAATGTAAATGTGGGTGTCACAGTTTAAGTCCGTTTTTGGGCGTTAGAGTGGGCGTTGCACTCTGCTGAAATACACTTATCTACATGCTTAATCCAAACTTTCTAGCTGTTATAGTTTCCAAGATATCAGCGTTCATACGGACGGACAGATAGACAGGCAGATGGGCATGACTAGATCTCTTTGGCTAGTGATCATGATCAAAAATATATATACTCAATAGGGTCGGTTCTTCGTACGCTTCCATCTACCTGGGCGTCGAAAACAATATCCTTGTAGATTACGAGTAACGGGTGTAACAAGAAGGAGTATGTCTCGACTATCCGATACTCTGTTTCAAATTATAATTAAATTAAAATTCCAAGGCATTTCTGTTGGCGTGGTACACATCGTGCGCCCCAGCTGTTGGACAACCATGCTTTCCAAAAACGCCTCCGCCTTCACACAAAAAAAACGCTTTGGTAAAATGGACTTAACCCATAAAATTGTGCTGCGGTCTCTGTCTAGCGTAAACTGGATATAAGCTTGTTTATCCTTATTTAAGTTTTGCCACTTATACGATGAGGATGCGGGTGCCCTCAGTTACTCAATGACTTACCTTATCTTCGGCTTCATCGGCTCGTTCTTCCGCTTCAATTACGCGTTGCTCCAGATCTGTAAGCTGCAAGTAGGAAGAAAAATAAAAAAGCTTGGTTAAAACTCATCCTTGTTAGCCCTAACGGTTAAACGGCTCAATTAAAATACTCGCCGTTGTTATTGTAGCTATGGGTATGAACAAGTTATAGACAAAATAACAGATAAATAAAAATTACTCTATTTTTATTTCGATTCCTTTTATTTAATGCTGCTATGACCAATTTTTTTACCTCGCTCTCACCTACATTTATAATTGCACTGTGTTAAAGAATTTGACTTTTGTTAAGTTATCTCGATGGCTGCTAGAAAATCGTATTCGCTTTGATATGTGTTCACCAAAAAATTCCGCAACGCAAGGATTCTGAGAAAAAGGTCCTTAAAGTTTGAAAATTCTTTTTGCTATTTTTTTGAACCACAATTACAGGCAAACGGGTTCTTGGTTTGTCAATTCGTCAAAATATTTGTAAAATGTCAAAACAATAGTTGTGCTACTGCCCTTATTTTATATTCGTCGGAAAGTATGTAACAGGTAGAAGAAAGGTAGTGATCAGGATCACTATCCGAGTCGATCTAGCCATGTCCGTCTGTCCGTATGAATGCTGAGTAACGGGTTTCTTATGGTGAAGGCCACCGACTATAGCGTTTTCTCTTGTTCAACTTTATTTCACCTGTGGCTTTACATTTAACTTGCATAGCTTATACAACTACCAGTGCAGATGGTAACCTTAGCGGGGACACCTATCATACTAAAGGAAACTTCCCAGTATTTTTTGGTGTGGTGAATTGCATTTGAAGCGTCGATGGCGCCAGTAGTGCGCTTTCGAGGTTCTTATGTCCTTTTTGGAAGGTTTCTCCATCCATTCTTAGCTCCCCGGAAAATAATTCACTCCCTCCATCAACCATTCCATTCCCCAATGAATCAATCCTGGGAAGTGACACACAATTTGCGGTTAAAATGGATAAAGGTCTCCGGCTAATACAATTCATGACGCTGGGATCAATATTCACGTACCTGCCGTTATTTTAATGTTTAAAAAATTGGTACACTGTCCCCCTCGTTGCTTATTCCGTTTTAAGAGCTTAATGACCCGCCATCAACAAAGGTTAAAATCCGGTCATAGTGAAGAGCCTTCAAAGAATTCCTCTCCAATTAATCACCAAGTGCCCCAAGGAAACTAGAGGAGAATACACGCAGAGTAAGCTGGTTAAACGCCGCAAAGGCGTTTTGAATGCCTTAAATGCATTAATTTCCGCCTTTTAAGCCATTCAAGTGGCCACTCATCCATGGGGGAGGTGTGGCGCCCATTGATTGATGGCTGTCAAATTGTTGTGCGAAATATGAAGAAGACTCCTCCTGTCTACTGAGCCACATCGATGATGAATGGAGTTTGCGGAAGTGGCTCGAAGCTTCCAGAGCGTCAGCTTGACTTGTTTGGAATGAAAAGGTTGGTATGACTTTATAAATTCAAGTCGGAAACAATCTATGGTAAGTTGTTAACGGCTTTAATAATCGAACTACAGAAAAGGTTTTGAAGCTGTATTCAACACTTGCACATATAAATTAACTTTATGCAGTACGATGATAGAGAATGTTCAAAAGTTGTAGCAAAAGACTGATACCTCTGATTTTGGGCGCTGCTGTTTAAAATGCTTCCACACAATGGTCATCTGTTGAGTAAGAGGCGCAGAATGGCTGCGTCACCCCGTTGGCTCAAAACAGCTGTTGGATAGAGAGGGATCACTATAAGAGAGGAGGAACTTCGACAAACTCGCCCAGAAGCGAAAATTATGTGCACTAATCTGAGCAACTTATTTGCCTGCATAAGGGCCCAGTGCAATTCGGATGCGGACGCAACTACCATATCCCATCAGCGGCATAACGGGGATGTCGACGATGAAGCGCCCGATTCCCGATGGGATCTGCAGCAGCAGATCCAAAGGGTGCATGTCCTTCACAAGGAGGAAAATAAATCCGTAGCGCAGCAACAGGCACTTTCACTTACTCTTCCAGCTGCGCCTCCTTTGAAAGGATGCATTTGGACCCCATCACGAGCCGTACGGGTCTCTCACGAAGCCCTGGAACGCTACGATCAGATTTTCGGAAGTCCTACCGATGTGCCCGCAGCATTTGTTTCGGCCAGAAATATTCCCGGTCAGTTGTAGGGCAATCAAATCTTAAATCGTAAATCATATCAAATGGCATTTAAACTTGGAATTTTATTTAAAAAAAAAAGTAAAATTAAATAACTGGTATGAAATATATTTTTGGAAATCAAATGAAAAATTACTAAGCTAGTGGAAGCTTCAGTGACTCCTGTTAATAAATTTTTCTAAAAGAAATGCGATAGTGGTATGCCACGGCTCGCTAGCCCTAACTGCTTAAGAAAACTGTAACATTTTTTTAGTATACTGTGCTGCAAAAGGTGGCCAAAAGTATGGATTATACGAAAAGCTTGAAAGAAAGTTGGGCTTAAGTTGCGTGCGTGAAAAGATTGCCTAGGTTTTACCGGATTTCCCCTGCACCATCTATACATACCCGCACACCTGTTTAATAATAGACGTTTTGGCCTGCCAATTGGGAGTTAATTGGAAGAAAACCGAACAACAGTCGGCGGCCCTAAGCAGAAACATTTGGCATTAATTGCTGGGGGCGGAACGGTTTTTCAGACACTTCATACTTTAACAAACAAGTTTTACAAAGTTGCCATACAGTTGTAGTCGTGACAAAAACGGGAACAACGGAGGAATCAAGTAGAAAATGTAATTTCGCAGCCACGAATGCAATACCCGCCAACAAATGGCTCACAATGGGTGCAGCAAGCTCCCAAAACCCCTGTTCGCAAAGGAGGTGACTTTGGCCATTAGTCGGTTTCGGTGTCTTTTTTTGGGTTGCTGCGAAGTTTCTAGCAAATGCCGCGTTAAAAGTTCTTGTTTTCTCCATTGTGACATACATGAATATATATGTGAGTATAGCGGGGATGAGAGGGGATACGCAAATTTTTATGGGTAGTAATAGCTGTGGTGAAGGGCCTAAAAGGGTTCCTTTTCACCGATTGGAAATTTCAGAGACTTAAATGAGCTTACAATATTTTTAAAGGCCCAGCTGCTATACACCGAGAATCCGACAAAGGTATTCCAAAGAAATTATAAACTGAAGAGTTACGCGAATAAACGTAATATGACCTAGCATCTCATCAACAAAACAACACTTGATTCATTTGAGCGTATAACAGTTTAACCGCAACAGTTTAGGCAATACCCTGCCTGATTATATTGTTGATGTTTATTCCATATGTACACTTTGTATACAAGCCTAAAGGCTTTGTGACTCTTGCTTAATGTTTGAGTAATTTGTTTGATTAAAAATATATATGCATACATAAATATATAAATTTAATATATAAATAAAATAAATCCAGTCAGTTAGTTAAGAATCAAGCATGTGTAATAAGGTTTAAAGCAATTAAATACTATATATGTATACGTAGAACCTAAACATTTTCGGCTTATTGTGTTTCTTGACTTGTACTAACATAACATAGTACAAACAAATAATCCCCTACCAATTTACCCCATCGTAATAAATTTTTTTGTTATTACGTCCGTTTTTATTGAATGCACTCATATGTTTGTTGTCTCCTCATTTGGTTCTGGTTTTGATTGCAAAAAGTTAATTAAAAATTTGTTGGAATTGAATTTTATTGCATGGCATGTTTTGTTCAGTTTATTTTTCTCAGCTGTGCTTTGTTTGAGTTTTGTTGAGTTATTCTATTTTTTGCCGGCGTTTTTGTTGTCTGGCCATTATGCCATTTGTTGTCATTTGGTTTTTGCCTTTGGACTTAATTGGATTATGGCAAAAAGAGTTTTAATTAAACCAAATGAAGCGGAATGGAAACGAGCGGCGGGCTTTGGTTTGAATCATATGATAAGCTCCGGGAGTCGGGGATCATCGAAACCATCGAGGCCATCATTGCACTCTTGCTCGAGAGCCCAGGGACTCCGGATAATTTCAAAAGTCACGGGCAGCGGTGACGGAAGTTGGACCTTTACAGTGTTGGTCGGCGCTTCTTCAATTGAGGGAGTGGATGGAAACTCCATCATACAATCGACACCGAAGCGTCGACAGTTAAAAAAATCCACCAAAAAGCCCAGAAACATTGTCACCACTCGGCTTGCAGTCCTCGCCCGATGCCTGAATACGCAGCACTAATGAAATGGCAGGGTTCCAAATAATACCCACCAAGATACTATCCACAAGTCCACGCCCCACAATCCACTTCACAGCTGCTTCCACAGTAGAATTCGCAAGTGGATGGATTATCAATAGCTCCCCGAATTCGCGTTTCCCGTAAACCCATCATCATCATCATCATCATGTAAAAAGCAAATGACAAAATTAATTAAAATTAAATGTCGCGCGTTTGGCGTGGGGTAAGGAATGCGATCATGCATTATGCATAATACATAATATCATATTCACTGCATCGGCATTACGTAATCTACTGTTTATATACACGCGCATTTATGTACTTATGCATTTATGTTTGTTTCTGTATAGGATGCACATTATAATTACATTTATGCGCGGCCATCAAATTCAATGGGATAACATTTGCATAACGGATGCTGCGCCCTTTTCATCCACCCCAGCCCAACATTAAAGATGCAAAAATGCTGCAGTTCCGAATACTCTTGCTGTGGATTTTAAATATTTCTAAAGTCTAATACTTTCAAGGACAATAAAATGCTTTAATGTTGAACGCGAAAATGTTTTCAATGGTTCTAAAATTTGAACATGATTCAATTTTACTTTTTACTACATACTAATTTTTTTAAACATTTGTATGCCCTATTCGCAGAGTAAAATGGTGTATTGTATTTATTGGAAAGTATGTAACAAGAGCTATTCGTCGAGTCAATTTAGTCATGATCGTCTGTCCGTATGAACGCTAAGAGTTCGGAAACTATAAAAGGTATAAAGTTGGTATTAAGATTCTAGGGCAGCAGTCGGTAGCTTCCCATTTAGCGGCTATAGGGAAGACCCTTGCACACATCGATGAACTGCTAATTAAGAACTGCAAATTACACACAAATGGAAAACAAAATGTCGTGCTGTTGTATGCAGAATTCTTTTTATAATTTTAAAAACTAAAAATGCAACAAAAATATTCAAAAATTCGCTATATATTTTTTTCAAATTTCTTCGCTAAAGAAGTAGATTTGGAGATACATATTCCCATATCTTACTCGCTAACTGCCTGGCATTAAATAGAAATGAATAGAAATATAATAAAAGTGAGGCAGAGTGAGGAGGGATAGGGAAACGAGCGATGACAAAACCAACAAACGACTATACTACAATTGCTTGGTTCTCCTTGGCCCTTGACTGCTGCGTTTTTGCATAGTTCATAATTAAGAAATAGTAACTGGTGCGTGATTAGCGTGTATTTCCGTCTACTTTGGTACTTTCCTTGCTCGAGATGACTCGCTTAATGGAGTTTCATATTAATTGCCAAGCATCAAGCTTTAAAAACGTGCGCTTGTCCCCATGCAAGAAATTAGAGTATTGCTTTATATGACGGGTAAAACAACTAAGCTGTGCGAAAGTGGAAAAAAGAAAAAGCGGTCCGTCTGCGACTGTTACTGCTAAATTCATGTCAATAGCATAAAGTCAGGCCCATTCGCACCGTCCCCTCCACACTCTTCATTTTCCTTGCGCTTTACTTTTTTTTGGCTTTGGGTCAAGTGGAAAGAACAACAAGCACTACAAAAATAACCATAACATGAAAAAGTAGGTTAACATGGGTTAAGGTGTGTCATTATCTTGTCACAAACACACGTGGAAGGTAGAACCCATCATTGAGTCCACTCAGCGGCAGAGGAACCTCGCTTTTCCGTCTGCTAATTTTCATTCCCTGGTTACACAGAGAAATATCGGAAGAGACAATTGGTTTTATACAATCTTCATGGTAAATATGGTGAAAACATTTTTACGCAGATAAAGAACAAAATACCAAGATCAATTTCGAATATTTCATGTTTACATAAACGCATAAATTGCTCTCTTGGTTTAGAGTCTTGTCGACTTTCTCTTCTCCTTCGTTTTTCCTAGACTTTAGAAAATTGTATGTATATGTACAGTGTACAACTTCTTACAGATCGAAACTATTATACGTATAAATTGTATGTGTACAACCATAGTAACACCTTTGTAAACTTGCTTTTGCAAGGTACAGCCTGCGGAGTCATTAAAAGGCTATTCCACCACTGCTGGCGGCGGCTGCTCATTACGGATAATGTGCCAAGGGCGGATGTTGCACCTGCACCTGCAGCATCCCCACTTGACTGAACTAATTAGCAGCTAGGCAGCAAAGTTGAAGGCATCTTTAAGAGGCAATGTTCCTGCTTGGGTACCATCTAAATTGACACAAATTGGCACAAGGCAAGTACACCAGGGCAATCAGATTAGACGATGTCGTCGTCGCATCATGTGCGATGTGCTTTTCCCCATTCATTCTCTTGTTCCGCCCCCTCATCCTCTGCTGACTTTGCCTTTCCACTCCACAAGGAAGGAGCAGAAGCAAAAGCAGCCACCCAATGTTTTTACAGGTGCTTTCAATCATGACGCACGGATTAGAACTCCGGTTAAAGATTAACAATGCCACACATTGCCAAAACGGATGCTCAGCTAGTTAGACAAAAGACGTTTGCTCACGTCAACGCTCCTGAATAAAAAATGGATTGGATAAATAGACCAAAACCCAAAGATAAGATATGCCGATTGCTAACGGGAAGCATTAGGGAATAGTAGAATCAAGACTAACTTGTGATACGATGATAGTGATACTGTCGGGGAGACCTTTCTCCTTTAAATAACATTCTAAAACAAAGGTTTTTGTAAAGAGTGTAATGAATTTGATGAACGCATTAAAACGACTGTGGCGAGATATCCCAAGGCAATTAGCAGTTGATAGCGTCTCAAGTAGTCCAACTATACCGAGCCCAGACCCAACTCAGTTTATCCCAAACGCGATTTAAGATAAGCACAACAAAGACAGCCGAAGAATAACAATTAGTGCATACTGTTAGGTACAAGGAGAAAATGAAAGAGAAAGATATGCCACAACGAAAAGAGCGCAATAATCACAGCAAAGTACTGCATATTCATAGGCGCAATCAACTTAATTGCACAAACAGCAGCACTAGATAACACAAAACAAAGGACCTCGACTACCTTCTTCATACTAATTAACTTAATTGTGGGCCGTTAGACGAGACCAAGTGGCTCCACTCCTCGCTGGAAGTAATTGCCACTCAAAAGTTCAATGCCTTTATGTTAAAGTATTCATCTTCATCTTCATTCCACGGTTCAAAGTTTCCTCAATTTTCTCAATATAATATTTGGCTTGCTGACAAAACTTCTTGCAGCAACTTGACGGAATATTATGCAGAAAACAAATTATGCTCATGATTTTCATTTGAAAGACGAAGTTTAAATACCCTTGCCAAGTGAAATTTTTGTGATCATTTTTAGGGGGCTATAGAATATAGTTCTCGGGTCCGGCGCCCTTTGATCTAAAGTACGTATCCGACCCCAAAAACTGTATATATTCTTGATCAGCATCACTAGACGAGTGGATCTAGCCATGTCCGTCTGTCCGTTTCTACGCAAATTTGTCTCTCAGCTTTAAAGCTATCGGGATGAAACCTTCCACAAAGTCGTATTTCTATTGCATGTAGTATATAAGTCGGATCGAGCGGGATCAGACAACTATATACTATAGCTCCCATAGGAATGATCAAAAAATATTTTATTAAAAACTGTTATATTTTGTTTTCGGTAAACATATACGGTAGTAAATGAAATAGAATGTCTCCTTTCTTTTTCAGTGTATAACAGTGGCGAACAAGAAGTATTGGAAAGCTCCTAACAAATCTGTTAAGGCGTTGCGAAATCCTGTCGGAGTGTTTTTATTTCCAATTCAATTTGTAGTTTATTTTCTTTTCAGTTGATGGACTTTAAGTGGTACGTTTTCTATTCCAGAAGTGCCGACATTTTTTAGTCGGCTGCTCTGTGGTGAATTTCAATTATCCTTGTTGGAGCAACTATTGCTTGCATTTTCATTTCCTTGTATTCCTTGTATTTCACTTTTAGTTTTATGAATGAGGCACCGCCTAGTTTTTCATTCGGAATTCCTGCTTCTCCCTCTTGTCACTGCTATTCATTCCCCCGCTCAATACAACTTCTTTCGTCTCCAAGCCCTTTAGTGTCCCGTCCTTTACTTCATCTTCTTCTTCTGGCGCTGGCTAGCCATTTGGGCCGTAAATTGTTTGCATACAACACGGCTACAATGGAGGGGGTTTAAAGGAGGGGTCTAGTTCAAAACCCCAGCCATTTGTTTTGGGTCTTAAATTTTGGTGCGGCTTATTTGTGTGGCTAGATTAAGTTTCAAATTGATGTGCGTTTTGAGTTGGCCAGAAAATGGGAATAGAGATGGGATTTGGCTTGTGGTCATAGTTTTCCTCCGATAAGCTGGAACTCCATGCCTGTAAGCCGCATTGATGGGCAAACTTTAATTTGATCATTCTTTTCTGTTGCCTATTCTTTCTCTCAGAAAGAGCCGATAAGCTAGCTTTTTTGACTCAAAATCACGGAACTTGCACATGAAAATGGGGCAGCTAATCTGCAGGGATTTGTGGGTCTGTAAAAAATCCTGGAGCGCCTTGTGCGGCATTTTCCAATGGAAATATGACATGCCCTAGTCTAGTGTGACCTTACTACGAAGAACAATTTGAAAAACTAAAATGACACATGACTTCTTTACCAGTGTGATCCTTTATAAGAGCGGATAGTCAAACAGTCCAATGAGTGGAGAGAAAAGTCTAAGAAAAAGATTTCCGCATTTTTGTCAGGACTCTGATTTGAGAATAGAAACACCTTTTCAATTTCTCCGGGAAAGACTAAAAATTCGTGCGTTGTGTAAAAGCAAAAAAGTCCCCATACAATTTCCATATCAGCAATTTTATTTGCGGCAATTTGGCAACACTTTTGTTTGGTGGCGAGTGGGTGGTTCAGCTTTCGCTGGCGGTGACGTATCAATTTCCGCTTGATTGCATTAAAAAAGAAATGGCTGAAGTAAAGTGGGTAAAGCGGGGCAGAAGTTTGCCTTTTCCATTGCGGCAGCGCTCT